TTAAGCACGAATAAAAAAGAAAGCCTCATGGATCTATCATCCGATGACAATCTCAAAGCTAAATTCCAGTCATCCTTATCAAGACCTCATTTAAAAAAAAAAAAAAAAAAAAAAAGACCTCATTTTTGCATCTCCATTAAAAGTGAATACCCATTGCTGAGTGAAAAAGCAATGAAAATTTTGATTCAATTTTCAACAACATATTTGTGCGAAAAAACATTTTCATCTGTCACAGCAATTAAAACTCGGTACCGGTCTCGGCTTGAAATAAATATGGTTCTCCATTTTGCAGTAACGTCATTGGAGCCCAAAACCCATAAACTGATTTCAAGCAAACAGGAGCAAATATCACACTCTAAAAATGTGTAATACTGAAATAAGCTTTAATTATTTCGTAAAAATTAAACTTACTTTAATAAATTTGTTACAATTAAACAACCTTTGAAGATTTTGTTATGATTGAATAAGTATTTATAATATTGTTGTAGTAAATAGGTGCATTTCATATTAATAAAATGGAGGTTCTCTGATCATTATTTTACAAATGTATTTATCTCCTAAAAAAAAATCATATTAATGGTCCGCGAGGTCCGAAAGGTTGGCGACCGCTGGTCTATATCACTGTCTTCATTTTGTTCATGAGGAAACGCAGTCTCAGGAAGATTACATGACTTGCCCAAGGTCTGGTCCCTTTTGTTAGCACTTGGGGGAACCAGGACTCACACTGGGCCTGATGACTTCATAGAGGGTCTTGTCAGTAGCATGAGGTCGAGGAAAGAGCTTGTCTTCTTGGGGGGAGTGACAGGTCGGGATGGCGGGAGTGCAGTGTGCACTGGCAGAAACATGGTTAAAAATGGAGAATGGGACCAGTATATGAAGGGAGTCTGCAGCCTGCATAAAGTGTGCTCTTAGAGTAAAAATGCCAGCAAGGGTTTGCAAGCAGACACGAGAGCTCCGATTTATCTTTTAGAAAGAGAATTCTGGCCACCTAGGTTGGGTTTGAAGGAGTTGGGTAAGACTAGAGGTAGGGTCGCAGATTTAGCCTCACTACACCTAGATATGCAAAGAAAGTATTTTTCTAAGTTTTACCTGACTTTTTCCTTAAGACCCTCTCCCCAATTTCTTTTTTTAAAAAAATATGTTTTTATTGATTTTAGAGAGGAAGGGAGAGGGTGAGAGAGATAGAAACATCAATGATGAGAGGGAATCATTGATCGGCTGCCTCCTGCACACCCCCTTTGGGGGGTCAAGCCCGCAACCCAGGCATGTGCCCTTGGCCGGAATCGAACCCGGGACCCTTCAGTCCACAGGCCGATGCTCTATCCACTGAGCCAAAACAGCTAGGGTGACCCCCTCCCCAATTTCTAAGTGGAGAGAGAAAAAACCAAATCCTGCATTTAGCTGAGAGTAGTAAACTCAGTCTGCTTCAGTAATGTAAAAGGTCTCTTTTGGTCATTTGTTTTTTCCTCTGCACTTCACTACGATGGTGCCTCAGTAAGCGGGCCACACATGTCCTTGAGTGTGTGTGTGTGTGTGTGTGTGTGTGTGTGTGTGTGTGTGTATATGTGTGTGTGTATCAGAGTTTGGGGATTCCCTACTGGTGCCAACTGGTGTCTGGCATTGTTCTAAAGTGTAGCTGACATCTGTTGCTAAAGTGCAGGTCGCCTGTAACATCTGGTCCATAGTCTGGTAGGTCAGTCAGGGCCTGGCTGTCCATTTTGCTTACATGGTCCCACCTTGGCTCTTGCTGGGTCTGCATAGCACCCCCACAAGGTCTGATGGTGCCCTTCCCCCACAGTCCTCCATAGGACACTTGGAATAGCCACACTAGAACCTAGGGAGGCTCTTGGTCAGCGGTCGCCAACCTTTCGGACCCCACGGACCACCAGTGGTCCCCAGACCACCGGTTGGCGACCGCTGCTCTGGATAGCTAAACTCAAAACTTAGGCCCTGTCTTTTGCTACCTGCTGTGACACCAGTTTTACTGATTTACATGACATGGTCACCACCCCATGTTGTCATGAGGATGGGGGTGGGGAAAGAGGACAGTCTGTGAGATGACATCCTGTAGATCTGAGATTTGCCCTTCAGAGTGATCAGACATGACTACTTTTTTGGGAAAGTTTCAGCTTGAGATTTCTTCCCCGTCCTGAGAATCCCCTTCTGGTATCTGTGGGAAGGACATTAAGATAATAGTTCTTTTGGAGTCAATCAGACTCCAAAGCACAAGTGATAGAGAAACTCCTTGGCTTTGGGCTTTGTCATCACCCTTTTACCTCCTCACTGTTTTATGGGATTTCAGCCCCCAGTGGGTACACCGTATGGTCTCTGCCCCCTTTTGCTTTCTGTATCTACCTGGCCACTTCTGTTCTGCACGCTTCTCCTGTGTTCCCGACTCACCTGGACTTTCCTAGGTCATCCTGTCCCCCTTCTGGAGGGGCCGTTAACCTTCCACTTTGGGCTGTAATAGCAGCCAGGATACAAGGAGAGAGAGAGATCAGCTATAAGATGCCGTGTTTCAAAGCTGTCGTATCTGTCATCTGGGATACAGCTGTTGTGGTAGTCTAGGAGAGGGACAACAAAGCTGACAGAACAGGCTCTGAGGAAGGAGCTTTGGTGAAACCCAATGTGGGGCTGATGAGAGGGAGAAATTGAGGGTGACTTTCATGGTCCTAGTTAGGACAACTGTTGGATAAAGATGTTCTTGACAGAGAAAAGACAGGAGGAGAAGGAATAGTCGTGAGGGCAGGGGATTGGAGGAGGAGCGTTAGGGAGTGGGAGGGAGGAAAGGAAGGCAGCAAGTGAGTTCTGTTTTAGACACAATTGTAGTGGGAGAAATTCGGGGCCCCCACTTGGGGGAGAATCTGCTTAGAGAAAAACATTTGGGAACAGGAGAGACTATCCAGGAAGTAAAAGAAGAGACATCACTGTCATTTTAGATGCTGAATTTAAAGGTATAAACAAGGTCATCACTCTCTTTTAATTCTTTCTTGCACTTCATGATGACTCAGTGCTTTGGAACTTCTATTTCCTGCTGTGGGCAAGGTCAGAGGACACAGAGTGTCCACTGTGACTTTTGACCCCCTAGGGGACCTCTAAGAACCCAGGACACATAAATCCTTGGTATACAGAGTTCATATCAGAGTGTGGCCAGAAGATACAGAGAGAATTTTGGTGAGTGGCTGAAAATCAATAATTTTCAGGTACATGCAGAGGCAGTGTTAGTTTTTGTGGTTGAGCTGAATTTTTCAAATTGAAATCCTGGAAACATAACTTGTATTTCTCAAAATTTTTCCCCTCATTGTTATGCCTGAGACATGGCTTAACCTTTCATGTACTCTGCTAACATAATTGCCATGCTGTCTTGTAAAGGTGGCTTTTAATTGTGCTCCTGAGCAGCAGCTGCTGATGAGTTGCTGGTTGCAGTCTTTCCATAGATTGGGCCTGTTCATTAATTGTTTTCTCTCATTGGACTGGGCATCTGGGCTTGAATAGCCACTGATTTGTTATTGTATTGCATTTCCACTCTTTTTCTCCCAAATTTAAATGGACCTTTATTGAATACAGTGCTAAACTCAATTCTTCCCCTTCTCAGTGGCCCTATCATTATAATTCATAGCATTTAGTCCTCTGATTGCACAAGAGGTTTAAGAACTAAAGATGCATTGTCATTCATGGGGCTCAGGCCTGCAGGCGGTGGGGAGAGGGGGCAGTGCCATGGATTATAGCAGGCATGGCTCAGTCCTCCACTGGCTGCTGATTTATGCCCAGGTAACCTGCAAAGTCTCTTAGCCATTTATTCTTCTTTTTTGGTGCTCAACACTCTTATCTCCAGGATTATTGTTCTCAATATTTTTAATTCATTTGAGTATTTAACTGTCACACAGAAGTTTGGGGGTGGGGTGGGAAGGTGGGACAACAGAAGGAACCAGAAGGTCTCTGGTTCTCCCTCTCAGAGCAGCTAGGTGGGGCTGTTCTTTTCATGCCCCAGGATGAAGTCTTGGGCAGGCCCAGTGAATTTTCTGGTCATTCTCATAATAAAAATTTCTACAGTCATATTTCCTTCCCAGATAGCCTCAGTTTGGTAATTAATATGTCCAGCCTGAAGTAGATTGGTTTAAGTTGAAATCTTTTCCTACCCCTGACTCAGATTTTAGATTTAGTTTGTCAAATTGGACACCTGGCACTCCTCCCCAAACCTATTCCACAAAAAACCCATTTATTGAAATACATTGAAATTATAGACTAATTTATTTTTATAGGTGATAAACATTTTTTATACTTATTAAGCGTTTTTAAAAAAATATTTCCTTGCTATTACAAATGCTGTGTTTTCAAGATTAAGTTTCCTGATTGTTGGTATTGTACCAAAGTGTAATAAATTTTTATATACTGATTTTATATTCAACAATTTTGCTGGATGTTCTTATCCTAATAATTTTCAATGACTTTTAATATAGATAATTATATCATCTGTGAATATGATTTTTTCTTTGCTCCCATTTCTTGCGCCTTTTTTTCTTTTATATTTCTATGTTGCCCTCCAGACAGAATTGGTAAATAGAAGTGGTGATAATTGCCATCCTTTCCTTCCTTTTGATTTTAGAGCCGTTGCTTGTAATAGTTCAGCATTAGGTAAAATGCTTGTAGTAAATTTCTGGCAGATATCTTTTGTCAGGTTCATAAATTTCACTTTCTAGTTTGCAAGGAATTTTATTCATGTGTTTGTGCATAATTTTATCAAATACCTTTTCTGCATCTAATGAGATATTGTGGGTTGACTCTTGCTGAAGGGGTGTTAAGATGCAACCTATTGTATCTTCTAGGTACAAAGTCATTGCTAACTGGGACTGGGAGAGATTTTACATTTTGAAATATGATTTACATAATGCAAATGCATTTTGTAAACATATACCCTTTGTGGGGAAATACCATGTTGCTATGCTGTCATGCTTGAAATATAAAACTAAATGTTGTTTGCTTGTTTTTCTCTTCAGTATTACTTTACTGTCCTCTTTGGCCATGAAGGTCAGAAACCACTGGAGCTGCGCTGTGAGGAGCAGCAGGACGGTAAAGAGTGGATGGAGGCCATTCACCAAGCCAGGTATGGGCTCAAATCCTCTGTGTGACACTGGATTGTCTGGGTCTTTCATTGGGATGTCACTGTTGGTGGTAGCTTTGGAAGAACTTGCAGTTCCAAGATGAGTTACCCCTCAATACTTTCCCCTTAGTCATGTGTGAGATGATTCTTTGAGTTTTCTATGGTTATTTTTTCTAGCTAAAGAAAGGCAATAGATATAACAATAGCAATGATAACAGATCACTTTTGTGGATTTGTTCCTATGTACCAGGCACTGTTCTATGTGCGTCTCAATTGAGGAATTTATTAAATGTGTTGATTGACTTATCTTTTCAACCGTCTATGAGAAAGGTACCTCTTTTACTCCCTCTAGGAAGCGGAGGCCTGGAAAGGCAGTGTGTTTGCCTGAGGTGGCACAGCTAGGGCGTGGCAGAGCTGGGGTCTGGGCCCAGCCCTGTGGAGCCTGGTTATCAGGAAGTGTGATGCCAGCCTCTGTCTAGGGAAACAGAAGAGTGTGATTTTGCTTCCTCCTAAGAAATACCAGGAAGATGGAAAGGAACACACTTGGCCTAAAAAGGGAATGAGAAATAAAAAACGCAGGCAGACCTCTCTCTTTATTTTCATATTCAATTCCAAAGTCCCGCTCATTTTTTTGCTTCAAATGGCTCCCTTGCTCACAGCTTTTTGCCTGTCCCCTTCCTTATCTAGGCTCTCCTCACTCCACAACTCCCTGCTCATATCCCCAGTATTTCAGTGGCAAAACGTGAGCTAGGGCACGCTTCCTTTTTCTTCACCTGATATGCCCTCCCTTCTAAATGTCCATACGTGTTGCTTCCACCCCTTCATGGAACCTCCCCCCACACGTCAGTTCCCACTGGCCCCCTTGTCCAGATTGCTGAATCACTTGCATTATTACATGTGGAATATTTAACAATTACTACAATTTAGGTTATTTTATTTTATTTTTTTTACATATTTCATGTGTGAGATTTCTGTTTCCTGAGCTGTGTCTTGAGAGTGAGGAAGAGAATGAGGATACATTCATTTCCGAATGAAGCGCAGGCTAATTGTACAGTAGATGATCAGGAAATATTTTCAGATGGATTATAAAGACAATGAGAATGTTCTGAGTGAGTTTAGACTGATCTTTTAACCCTTGAAACTTTTCTCTGAAAGTCTCCTCCCGTCCCCTCTTCTTCCTTCAACTTCTTTTTATTGACCATCTCCTCTGTGGCAGGCAGTACGCTAAGTGCTTCACCTACTTATCAGTATTTATTCCTCTCAGCTACCCAGGAGGGTACTATTAATCCTATTTTACAGATGAGAAAACAGAGGTTCATGATGATTAAGCAGATTGGCCAAGATCTAACACAAAGTTGTTTAGCTTCAGAGCTGAGATTTAAACCCAAGTCAATCAGACTCCAGAACCTTTAATTAATGTGCAGTATTGCACCTCTCTTTGTTATTGTCTCTTTCTCTTCAGTTCTTCCCTTTTTCATTTCTTTTTCTTTTCCTTGATTCAGAGATGAAAATGGATTTATGTGAGGTCAGGGTTGAGAGCATAAGGTGCTAGTTCCAAAATATTTCAGTTCCTTTTCTCCAAAATATTTCTCAAAGATGTGCAGGGGTGGCGACTAAATGCTGTTCTCCAGGTGGGCCTTGGGGGCAGCTTGCTGGCATCATGAACTAGGCACACTGTTCAGCTGTCTTTGCTCTCAGTTGGCTCTGACTGAGGGTTTTGCTCCAGAGTTAGAACTAATGTAGAATGACTTGCTGTAGAAAAAGGTCAGGGCTTCAAAGGTGAAAGAAGTATCAAGTTGGCAAGGTAGAGCCCTTGGGTCATTTCCAGACACAATCTTTGTCACCACTTGTGTTCCCTTCTACCTGGGAATTAAAGTGAAGTAAATAATTTAAAACGTGTATTTGCCTTTCTTTTTCATTCGAGAAAAGCCAGGCACTACTAGTAACCAAATACAGAGTATAAATTACTTTTTAAATGGTGAGATTTCAAGTAATAGATTTTTTTCTATATCATAAGAACTGTCATATAAGTGGAAGTGAGTTGGTAGCTATGCAGTATTGATTGGCAAATGATCAAAACCAGGGCATGTGTGATCTTGTTAGGAAACAGACTTTAGAAACACTTCAGTGGTTTAGATAACCAAATGGTAAAAATTCTCTTCTCTTTGGATTTGAAGATTTGGTTAATAATTGATCTTTTGTCCTGATGTTCTAACTTTTTGGTCCATTATATTTACGTTTCCTTTGACTTGAAGCCCAGGGTTAGGTTCTTTGATGGCTTCCTTTTCATCTGTTTTATACCCGAGTTCTTCTATTTGACTTTTTTGCACTGTGATGCTTCTTTAATTTTTGTTTTTTAAACCAGGGAAGTTGATAACTGCTTCATTAAGTTGAGTTCTTGGTGTAATCTTGGATCTGTGAAATTCATCCTGACTTTGTTAATACATGAGCAGAGCCAGAACGTTAATGAAACTGATTCAGAGGAAGAACTTGTCAGCCACGTTTGCTTGGCATTGTGCTAATTAAAACAATTGGTTGGTTGACTAAATATTTCACCTTTAGAGGACAGTTTGATGGCATTAATTAGGTACTGCTGCCTTATTAATAGAAAATGCTCAATAATTATGATTTCATTGATCCTTGTTTGTAAAAGCCCGAGCTTTTGATTAACTAATGACTGAGCTGAGTTCTTTTTCTGAGCAACAATCTTCCTGCAGATACTACACAGGAACAGGGACTGGTCAGAACCCCTCTCTTGGTCACTGCTGTTTTCCTGGGATGGCTTCTCAGTACCAGGCCAGATGTGCTGTCTTTTTGTGCCACGAAAATCACATTCTTGCTGCTGGCTTTTGTGCTCAGAGCTGAATCTACTTGCCCCAGTTGGCTTTGAGAAGCCCTTTGGGTCATTTTCTGAGATGTAGAGTTGGATTCTCCCTTAGACCTGGCTCAGGGAAAAATTGTTTTGGAAATAAAATTCTCATTTGAAGGTTTGACCTGGTCCAGGAAGCTTGTTTTACACTTTTGCTTCTAGATGGCCATTATTGTATTTTGAGAACACTGACACATTTAAAGATAATTTAATCACATATTACTGGCCCCAGTTCATGAGAAACTGCTAGCAAGACTGAGTCTTAATTTTATCTGAATGATGTGAAGCCAAAGTATTTTAATAGCAATGAAGTCTGTGCTTTTTCCATAAGTGGTCTGCTAATTGGGTATGAAACTTTGGATATTTCCAAAAACCTGATACTTCATCTTTGTTCTCTTGGTCAAATATGTCCACCATGGTTGATTTAGTTCTAGACATTAGGACAATCAAAAACACTAACTCAGTTGATTGTGGATCCCTAGGGCTCATAGGCTGCAAAGACAATGTACAGTCATTGTACAGGGGACAGCTTAGGAGAGGAGAGCTGGCTGCAGAGAGAGAGAGGAGATTAGCGAGAGTGATATAGTGTTAGAATCTCATGCTAATGTGATACATAAAAAATATTGATTAGTCAGTGGGGTGGAACTATTGATATAAGACAGTTTGAGAGCCAGAAAAAAACGGAAGGGGGTAATGCTGAAGCAGCCGTGAGTAAAGAATGCTCCGGAGGCCTGGTGCAGCTTATTGGGCGGCTGCTGCCAGGCCAAGAACTGCTACGTGGGGCACTGCACTGTCATCCAGGATCGGATTTTCCCAATTCCCAGAGACACTGTCGTACCCTGAGAGGAGGAATGTTGTTCATAAGAGTTTTCTCAATAAAATTGAGCATAATCCTGGAGCTAGTAGCAGTTTTCTTTAGTTACTTGTTATATGACTTTTCAGTTTGAATTTTACTCTAGTTCTTATTCTTTATATCTCATTAGCATATTAGCTATAATATTACTTTCTCTTTCATAAGTATGTCTTTAATCAAAGTAACTAGGACAAGGTTCTGGCCCATATAATAATTCTTTGTTCAGCGAATAGAATTTTTATTCTTCTTTAAAAATAATTAAGGCTTATGATTTTATACTGTGCCTTTGACTGGACTCTTCAGGATTTTATTGGAATGTTTCCATTGATCCTATATGGAATAGTGGTGGTTTGGGTTTGATTATAAATATTACACATGAATATTTTACATATACCTCAAACTTGCCATCTGCTGGTATTTGACAGATGAGTTGGCATTTGCCATGTTGATTTAATGGCTTAATTTTATTACTTCCTTTTCCTCCTGCCACTCCCCACCCCCCTTGGACATTAAACTAAATAAAAAACAAACAGCACAGAATTAATGAATAGGTTAGGCAAAAATTTCTTAAGCTTGAGCATTTTCTAGCAACTAGAAAATGTAATCAGATGAAACCTATATTGGAAGTTTAGAAGAGAAATACCAAACCTCTGAAGTGTCTTACACTGAAAGGAAGCCATACATGCATACTCAGTTGATTTGATGCAATTCTGAGGTAGACATTTATTTACTAGTGGGAAACACAAAGAAAGCTTTGTGATATAACTTTGAGAGAATATCTCAGTAAGAGTAGTTAGGCATCTAAGGAGACCCAATGAAATAACTCGAATAACTTTAACATTACAAAAAATGAAAATTATTGTGTGAAGAAAAAGCCATGGAAATAAATCATATTAGATGGTGTGTTTTTTTTTCATTTGACAATGACTTTTCATTTGAATGAATATTTTGTGCCAACCCCATGTCAGGTGCTAGACACCATGTCAGGTGCTGGGCCAATCTTTAACATTTTTACTTCGATTATTGTGGAACCTCCAACTAGCTTCCCTCCCTTCAACCCCTACTTTTGTCCTTTCTGTCTCAGCAGCCAGTGTGAGCCTGTTAAAAAGTCAGATCTTGCCATGCCTTCTATCCAAGCTCTGGCATCTCATGCAGGATGAAAACCTGAGATTTTCTATTATTTTACAGAGTCCTTCATGCTTTAGAATCCTGTTCCCTTGTTTACTTTTATTATTTATTCTCTACCTATAAACTTTTAAACATTTAGCTCCTTTGCTCTAAATTTAAGCCTCTGTTGATTCTGAAAATTAAAAAGCAATAAGGGGCATTTACATCCTGTTATACAAATATTGTGTACCAAAGTATCAAGGTTGATGTTTGGTCCCATGGCGAATAAAAGGTAATCACATGCAATTGAATATTTTCTCCTTCAAGGAGAATCTTGCATGTGTTAACTTCTCATGTCTTTCTAGCTTCCTTTATTTTCTCTGGCTTGTATTCTTGCATTCCATGTCATCTTATATCTTTGTTTTCTGTTCTATTTGGTTGGGAAAACTCCTCATAAGTTTTCTCCTGTTGTAAGTGTGGAGGTTGCCAAACTGTTTTTGTTTGTTTGTTTGTTTGTTTGTTTGGAACTGGCACTACGTCTGTTGATTGGTTGCCTGGGGTAGGAATTTAAATTAAACGTATTTTCCCTTAAATTCTCTATTGTGATATAGCATCTCAAGTTACAGATTGAGAAGTATGCCATCTTGATTCTCACTTTCTTTAGATTATCAGTGGTTTCTCTTTGGAAGCTTTTATAATTTTTTCTCTACCCTTAGAGCTCTGATATTTTACCAAGACGTGTCCAGGTATGAATTGTTTTCATGTATCCTGTCTAGATTACATTTTATATTTGAACTGTGCCATGTGAACAGGGAAGGTTTCTTTCATGTTTTGATGCTTCCCTCCACGCCCCCCCCCCCCCCCCCCACACACACACACATCACAGTCTCTGTTGTTTTCCTTCTCGAACTTTCATACGACAGCTAGTAGACTTCTTGGATCTATACTCCATATTGCTCAATTTTTCTTTTATTTCCAATCTCTTTGTACTTTTGTTCAATGTTCTTTATCTCACCAACTACCCAGCTTAGTTTTCAGCCATGTCTGGTGTATTGCTTAGCACATTCATTGACCTGTAAACTAGAAAGCTGACAGGAACCAGATAGTCATTATTTTTCTGACTCAGACTTTCTGTGTCTCCTGTCTCTACTCTTCTGAACATCCGCTATTCTTTTCTCTCTTGGAAGACTCACCTTTTTTTGGCATAGATGTGGCCAAATACTGCTGCCCAACAATGCCAACCTGTTTCCAAGTTCAGATCTTCTCAGTTCAAGCAAATAGGTAAGAGGCACAATCCCAGATTCTAGGGAGAAAGAATCTAAGTGGGTTAGCTTGGGCCAGTTATATCCTTTTAGGCCAGTTTAATGTGGTCATTGAGGGCAGGTTTTGTGGTACAAACATAGCTGCTAGGGCCCACATTCTCAAAGATGTAAGTGGGTAGAAGATTGGGCTTATATCTCAAAACATATCTGCGGCAATATTCTTGTTTATATCCAGTGCACTATTTCTCACTAGAGAAAGTTTAGCTTGTGGTTAAGAACATGGGCTTAGAGTCAGACAGACCTTGATTGGAATCCCACTCAGCCCTGCCACCTACTAGCTGTCTGACCTCTGAGGATCAGATTCTTTCTCTGTACAATTGGGATGATAAAACCTATCTTCTCGGGTTACTGGGAGGATGAGATGAGAATATGTATGGTATTCCCTACACATTCAGTAAATAGAAACTATTGTTAATTATTGCTATTGTTATACCGTTTGGGAAAGATTATGTGAATGGAAGAACATCCATTTTACCACCTTGAATAGTGCAAGAAGATCTGGAGACAAAATTTAGATGCCACAGACTGGCATAGTCAATAAAAATCTCACAGTGAGTTTGCCTTTATCACATTTGATCAAATAAATGGACATAGGTTAGAATTCAGCGGTTCTCAACCTGTGGGTCGTGACCCCTTTGGTGGTCGATCGACCCTTTCACTGGGGTCGCTTAAGACCATCCTGCATATCAGATATTTACATTACGATTCATAACAGTAGCAACATTACAGTTATGAAGTAGCAACGAAAATAATTTTATGGTTGGGTCACAACATGAGGAACTGTATTTAAAGGGCCAGAAGGTTGAGAACCACTGGGTTAGATTGTTGGAGTTAGGGCTCAAAGAATCTATACTTATTTCCAAAATTAAATTTTTTACTTCTGTTGCTTCTGAAAGTGCAAGGGTAGTCAGTGGTCTCAAAATCCTAAACAGAGCTAAGCAAGGCTGGTGGTTGTTGGTACAGTCATCATAGTTCTTTTCAGCCAGTGCCAATCCTGTTGATTGTTTCATTTATGCTGCTTGGTGGCAAGTCTGTTCTGATTGGCTAGTGCCTTACCCAGTGAAATATTTTGAATATCATCCCTGGAAATCAAGTATGTGCCATCAATTCAAAAGACTTCAGTTTCATTGTTTAAAAAGATGTACTATTTTCTTTATAAAACAATAGATTTCCCTTGCACTTTTCTCAATGATGTGCTAAAATTGTGGGTGGCAGCCGTCCTTAAATGAACTCTAATAAAAAATATGTAAAATGATAGTGATTCAATTTCTATATAGTTAAAGGATGCCAAACATAAGCCAAAAGTTAAATGAACTCTGTGAAAACAATATATGTAAAATGATTATGATTCAACTTCTTTATAGATGGGGGATACCAAATGTAAACCAAAGTTAATGTTTACATAAAGTAAAGTTAGCCAAACAAGCTATGCTTCATCTTAAAATGTAGTGCATGCTTTTCTAAATGGAACTATAGTAGAACAATACCTCAATGACTAACTACTTTTCTCCCAAGTTATGCAGACATTTTGATTGAGAGGGAAGTGTTAATGCAGAAGTACATTCATCTAGTTCAGATCGTAGAGACAGAAAAAATTGCAGCTAACCAACTACGGCATCAACTCGAAGATCAAGATACCGAAATCGAAAGGCTTAAATCAGAGGTACTTCCCAGTTGATGGATTCTTTCTCATTGTTTCATGTGTACTGTCATCTGCGTATGGTTACGTAAGGCCTATCAGGGTGAATTTTTAATCCCAAACTTAGTTTCTATGCTTTCAACACACACATGGCCAAACTACTGATCTCCGTTAGGAATGACTCTGTCCATGTTAAAATTATGGCAAATATGCTTCAATAAAAAATCAGGATTATAGGCTGTTTTTTAATTATTTGTGCTCCTGATATCCTTCATTTGATTGGATATGCAGAGTTGACTACAATATTTAACTGTTTCCAGATGAACTCCTAGGGTAATGGTAATTGTGAATCTGTCATAGATTCAATTAAACCCAAATGATAACTAAAGAAGGACAAAAAATGAATTCATAATGGCTTTCCTTTTTCTAGATCTCAGGAGTCCAACGTCTCCTCTCTAGAATTTTGAAAAACACGTTTAAAGTAAAATATAAGACATTTGTTAGGGTGCATTTTTTTCCTGAAGTTGGAATTCCTACATCCCTCTTCTTCCCCCACCCCCTTAGCATGAACTTCAAGCTCTGTACTCCTAGGTAGTGAGACTGATACCAGGTTAGAGCGGAAGGTGGTCTAGTGTCTGCAACAATGGCAGTGTGCCTGGTCCTCCCTCTCTCCAAGAAGCCTGTGTGTGTGTGTGTGTGTGTGTGTGTGTGTGTGTGTGTGTGTGTATACTATATATATACCTTTTCTTGCTTTCTTGTCATTCCTTGTGGGAAGTGTTCAATAGTTAAAGATTTGAAGAGGAATGTAGAAAATGAGTTTTTCCCCCCTCTTTCTGACCAGCAGTGCATTAGTATCTCTTAGCTTCGAAGAGAAGAATAGGATAGAATGAAACCTACTACTAATTATATCCTTGTTGACAGAAATAATTCAGGTTCCTCAGCCTTGGTAACTTTATCACTTTTCTGGTATTGGACAACATTTTCTTCCTCGTTTCCTCACATCTTTCTCTTAGACATACTCTGTGAATCCTGTGAGGGGTTTCACCTCCTGCTGCCTGTGTACATCACCTCCAGTGTATAGAGCATGGGCATAAGCTGGTTCCATCTGGGATCTGCTTGCTTCTCCGGTGATGATAAGTTGCAGATCATGCTCACCATATCATTAGTGTTGTTCACTTCCCGATTCAACCCTGAAATCTGATATCGTGAAAAAACAACAGAAAACTTAACAAACCTGCCTTTTAAATACTATATCAGGCACTGTAATTTAAAACAAAATTATTGTGTTCTTTCTTTGCCACAGTAAGCTAGAGCAGATGCTTGTCTGCTAAGTGAAAGAGGTTAGCATTTCCTCTATAAGAGAAACGCAGCACCAAGCGATGTTCCCCAATATTTATCTGTGTGTGCTTCTCTGTATTCACTACATTCTATTTTAGTCTGAATATAGACTGCAGTTAAAAACTGTCAGTAGCAGGTATGTCTTGTGTGGTTGCTTGACAAGAGACATAATTTATTTTCTACTCCTTTTATTTTCCCACTTCTCTGCCAGAACATGGTGGAGATGTGTATTTAGTCCTGGGGATAAAATGTAGACAGTTCAGAGGGAGCAATTATGATCCCGTAGCTCTGTGTTTGCTTGTTAGTAAGTCTATAAAGGTTCTTACATTTGTAAGAGCCTGCAATAGAGTGGCAGTCCAGTGAATTTTATTACTCAATGCAGTTGAGAGGCCATCTGGTCTTGAGTTGCCCCTCGCAGGTCACAGAATTGAGCTGGAGATAGAAAAAGGTCCCAGGTTGTTTCAATCCTTTTTATGTTTTAACCTTTTCTTGGCCGGCTGGGACCAACCTTATGGGTCTGAAGCTCCCAATGCAGTTACTGTTTCCCCAAGGAGATCTGTGAGTCTGCTGTACTGTGTGTAGTTGGACGGCCACAGGCTAATTATTCCCCCCGGGCAAGCATGAGAATTGAGCTGAGTGTCATTGCATTTGGAGACCACAGGACATTTCAGGCAGCTTCCTTTAGCAAGATGGTTGACATGTCCCTCAGCTCCTGAGAAAGCCTGGCTTGGTCATCACTGGCCGTTAGGGTGGTGTTTGGTCCAACATTTCCTAACCCAGATCCCAGTTCACACTTCCACAGGCACTTATAATAACTTGTTAGTAACAAACCAATACAGGCTTGCTTCCACAGGCATTTCTTATAATAACTTGTTAGTAACAAACCAATACAGGCTTGGGGTGAAGTTCATGCTTCCCCTGCCACAGCACCAAAGGCAGAGAGAGTGAATAAAAACTGAATGTTTCCCGAGGATCTCAGAAGCTACCTTGTAGGCATGACTTCTTATGAGTTATGGCAATAATCCAGTATTTTCCAGTTCATGAAATGGACCTATTTTGTGTTCTAGATTATCGCTCTTAATAAAACCAAGGAAAGAATGCGGCCTTACCAAAGCAATCAGGAAGAGGATGATCCAGACATCAAAAAGATTAAAAAGGTAGGATGCTACAGGTTTCCAGCTGCGGAGTAGCACAGCGACCAGTTGTTTTGTAATAATGTCTTTGTCACCCTGTCCCTGGGCTGAGAACCTTGGTGTTTCTGTTCTAATGGCTCTGAGATTTGCCCTTCAGAGTGATCAGACATGACTACTTTTTTGGGAAAGTTTCAGCTTGAGATTTCTTCCCCGTCCTGAGAATCCCCTTCTGGTATCTGTGGGAAGGACATTAAGATAATAGTGTTCCCCAGTTGGGTTACTTAGGTGCTGTTTAACCTCCTAATTTTATACTGCTTCTTATTTTGGGGGAGTGTTTTTTAAATTACATTCAAACATATTTCTTTTAGCATAGTCTTTAGTGCTTAATTTTTTTGAACATGTGAGAAGATTAGGTAAATCACTACATCTGCTCAGATTTTTGGTTTATTATTGTTTCTTTCTTGTACAACATCCACAAAATCAGCAGATCCTTTCCATCTTACTGTTATGTATAACTGTACAACTTTTGTAATTAACCAGACACTGGTGCTCAGTCTAGTCTACTGTGTTTGCCTTAGGTCATCTAGGTTTTGAGTTCGGTATTCTTAATAGTTCTGTGTGAAGCACTTACTCAGTTTTGTTAACATTATGTGGAAAGCCTCACCATTAAACTGTTTATATGTTCTTTATTTCTTAATCCTGTTTTCCTAAGCTAAATAATTATTCCCCTTCAGTTGTAGCAAAATTTTAGCTAAATATTGCTTAGAATTTGAAATAGAAAAGCTTCTTAGGACTAAGTTATAATGCTTTTAGTTTTTAAGAAATAAAAAAGTAAAATAACATCATTTCTTTCTTAGAATTTATAACTTTATAAATTGAATTTGGTTTATGTTATTGTGTTACAAGATTCATATTATCGCCTTTCTTTTGATAGTATGCAGTTGCATGTAAGCAACGATATCAGTAAAATACAATTTTCAGTGCAGTTGTAGAAGCTGGTCTGTTAGGAAGTAAATGAATCAGCTTTTGCTCAGCAGGAGATAACTGTCCAAATAAATAGAAAAGTTTTATTTAATATAAAATTCAATTTAGTTGATTTTTAAAAATACTCTGTTATATGGAAGAATAATGATAAAGTAAATAGTTTTTACATTTAATAACTTCCTATTTCTTAATAGAAAAAAATTATAAAACTATTTTTAAACTTATTAAATAGATTTTAAAATTAACTTTATTGTTTTTCTGTCCCAAATCAAACTAATACCTGTGTGGAAAAAGGGCTGTTTACAAATGAATTATTTTCTCTATTCTGATTTTTTTAAAAAAATATATTTTATTGATTTTTTTACAGAGAGGAAGGGAGAGGGATAGAGAGTTAGAAACATCGATGAGAGAGAAATTTACAAATGAATTATTTTCTCTATTCTGATCTTGACAAATATCAACATAATTTGTCAACTTCAAGAGACCAAAAATTGAAGTTGGTTATAATTCATAGAAATTTGCCATTAGATTTTTCCAAATAATATACATATAATTTCTCCCCACATAATTCTATTAAAATATGGTTAATTTTTATTGTTTGGGGTAAGTCAACTGTATGAATGTCTGTAGAAAATTGATAGTATGCTGACAACATCAGTAGGTAAATGAGAGAATTTAAACATTGCAAAAGAAGAGTAGTTGTTTAAATACATGATAATTTAGACCACATGGGTAAAACAGTACGGAAAAAATAAAAAGTGTAAGACTGAATAGATAACTATGATACTAAAAGAAGATTTGGTAGTGATTTAATGATCTCAATTATATGTGAATTTGCAAACTGCTTTGTTGCTGAATCTGCCACTTTAATATAACAAATCCTAATGAATTATCATATAGGCTTTTTATATTTAGAAAGGACCTCAGATATATTTGGTCAATTATTTTATAGATGAGGAAATAGAGGACCAGAAGTCAAGGTCACTCACAAGGTTAGTTGCAGAGCCTTTGGGTTAAGGATTACGTCATATACCTGTTTGCTTAGCACCCAGCATTTACCTGGGCATTTAAACAATGGTCAGTAAATATTTGTTGGCTAACACACACACAGGCCAGTGTACTTTGTGAGGTTTGCTTATTATTTTCAAACCATACATAGGGAATTTAGATAAATATTTTAGAGGCTAGCATATCTATATATATAAAAGGCTAATATGCAAAGTGTCCCCTTGGGAGTTCGAGTGGGAGACTGGGAGTCTGATTGCTCGCTATGATGTGTGCTGACCACCAGGGGGTGGCGTGGAATGAAGAAAGCCCTCGGCCAGCAGCCGGCAGCCAGGGAAGGAAGGCCCCGGCTGGCAGCCAGAAGGCCCCAATCGGCCCTGATCACCGGCCAGGCCTAGGGACCCTACCTGTGCATGAATTTTGTGCACCAGGCCTCTAGTTTTCTATAAAATTGATTTTAAACTGTATTTTATGTTTCTTTTCACAAAATAATAACCATTGCAAATTGTTAACATGTATTTTTTCCATGTGGCTGGAAAAAAGACTCCTTACAGTTAACAAGGGGCAGGTAAAAGAACACCAAGTTTCCTTGCAGCCTTCCTAGCTGTGTGATTTACCATGAAATTTAGTTTACTCATCTGTAAAAGTAAGAAGTTGGATGAGCTCATCACTAACACTTATTTTTAAATTTAAACAAATGACATCTCAACAACACAAAATCAAATAACCCAATTTTAAAATGGGCTAACGACTTGAATAGACATTTCTCCAAAGATTACATACAATTGGCTATATATGTATGTGTGTATATGTATGTATGTGTGTGTGTGTGTGTGTATATATATATATGCCTAAGTGACCGTTAGGACCAGAACGACTGGTTGACCAGTCGCTATGATGCACACTGACCACCAGGGGGCAGATGCTCAACGCAGGAGCTGCCCCCTGGTGGTCAGTGTGCTCCCACAGGAGCATCTGCCCTCTGGTGGTCAGTGCGCTCCCACAGTGGGAGAGCCGCTCAGCCAGAAGCTGAGTTCAGGCTGGCGAGCGCAGCTGTGGCGGCAGGTGCCTCTCCCGACTCTGTGGCAGCGCTACCGAGTGGCAGCTGCAGGCGCAGTGGGCTGGGATGAGCGTGAGTGGCATGGCGCCCGCTCAGACTCCTCCCTGGCTGCCTGCTGCTTGGTGCACTGCTACATCCCCCAAGAGGTCCTGGATTGTGAGAGGGCCCAGGCCAGGCTGAGGAACTCCACCCCTTCCCACCCCCGCTGTGCATGAATCTGTGCACCGGGCCTCTAGTCTATAATAATAAAAGCGTAATATGCTAATTAGACTGGACAGCCAAACGACCTTCCGGACATCATTCTGGATGTCCTTCCAGATGAAGCTGCCGCAGTGGGGGCTTAGACAGAGGTTGTTAGGGGTGATCAGGAAGGCAGGCAGAGGTGGTTAGCGGTGATCAGGCAGGCTGGCAGGTGAGCAGTTAGGAGCCAGCGGTCCTGGATTGTGAGAGGGTGCAGGCCAGGCTGAGGGACTCCTCTGCCCCTGTGTATGAATTTTGTTCACTGGGCCTCTAGTCCTATCTAATAATAGAGAAACATGGTAATTAGCCATACCTCCGCTACCCTTCCCATTGGCTAATCAGGGCGATATGCAAATTAACTGTCAACCAAGATGGCGGCCTGCAGCCAGGCAGCT